CACCAAGCCCAGTTTGCTTGCTTCGGTCAGTAAATGCGTGTCCTGGAAATCCAAAGGCTGGCTCGCTTTTCTGCATTTTCTGAAAGAAATTTAAGGAGCAGAAGTTTTCATTCCCTGGGACCAGGACAGGAGAGCGAGAGCTGATCAATGGAAGGAGGTGATAGGGGAGGAGTTGTCTCTTTGGGAAATGTTCTTTCAAGTTTAACAAGGGGAAAAAAAAGATCTCTAAAGAAATCAAATAGATTTATTGTTTGTACCTATAGAATGGAGCAAGAGGGATAATCCTTCCTCTAGCTAAAAAAATATTCTATAACAGGATTATAATTGTACGATAGTATAGGGCTGGATACATTAATAGCAACCTGTAGTATGACCTCCCGTGTCTTTCCGACAGAAAAAACTAATTTTAGATGAAAGGGAGTTTCGTTGGCCAAGATACAGCGAATGGACCAAAGAGGACAAAAAGAGCAGAGGGAAGAAGAAATAGAAATTCTTCAAAAAAATTATTTTTTGATCTCTTCCCTTGAAAACAAGCGAGAGAGAGAGAAAGGAAAAGCCAAACCCTTTTGGCTGCCTTTTGGCTGCTTTGTTCTTTTCCCTTGTTAGATATCTCATCTGAGCTGTTTTATCCTGTTGTGTTCTGGAAAATGATTTTTGAAATGTCAAAACTTCAAGCGTCTTTTGTCAAGGCTTAAGCAGTTTCACTGAACTTGCAAGGAGACCCCAGCATGAGAGACATGAACTTTTGATGCTGCCTTAACTGATCTGGCTTTGATCAATGTTGGAGAAGGAGGCGGGGGAGAAACACACGCATGCAAAAACCCAAACAAATCAATCCCCCGAAGTGCTGGTGGACCTCGTGGAGGCGGTTGTGTAGTTGTCTACTGATGTTCTCCACGGCACTGCAATGCTACTATCATAAAGCAAACAGTGTTTGAGGGACATGTCCTACAGCTGGGGGTTCCTGGGAGGTGGTGGTGGTGGATGGAGAGCTGTCATTTTGTTGCTGTATTCACTTGTTTGGTCGATGTTTGCCTTACCCTGAGACCTAAATGTCTCTGTTGAAGGGGGATTTCACCAAGCTTTAAAGTGAGAAGCTCAAAACTTGTGACTGGGAGGACACCTGGGAGGGGACAGGGTTGGCAGCAGGGGACAGCAGGGTAGACGGTCTCTCCAAGTGTCTGCAGAGAGTTTCTCTGGGGAGACCTTATAGCGGCCTTCCAGTATCTACAAGAAAGCTGGCGCACGTAGTGATAGGACAAGGGGTAATGGCTTCAAACTGGAAGAGCAGAGATTTAGAAGAGATATTAGGAAGAAATTCTTGACTGTGTGGGCGGTGAGCCCCTGGCGCAGGTTGCCCCGAGAAGCTGTGGCTGCCCCATCCCTGGAGGTGTTCAAGGCCAGGTTGGACATGGCCTTGGGCAACCTGGTCTAGTGGGAGGTGTCCCTGCCCAGGGCAGAGGGATTGGAACTCAATGATCTTCAAGGTCCTTTCCAACCTAAACCATTCTGTGATTCTATGATCTGCTCCCCAGGCAGTGACTCTAGGTGTGCTTCAAGCTGGGTGTGGGTGTGAGGGCGTTTCGGTGGGGTCTGAGGTCCTCGAGGCAGGTTTTCTGAGGGTGGTTGGGAGCAGGGTCTTCCCTGCTCCACACTAGCAGTGTGAGCCCCTCAGGTTCCCCATCACCCCCTGTCCCTCCTCCTTGAGTTCCTTCCAGTGAGCGACTGCGCGTTGGTGAAAACAAACCTGGCTGATGTTCCCGGCAAGCTAAAAGACGTTTGAAATGGCTCCTGCTTAGAAAATGTTTGTTCTCGGTAGGTTCTAAAAGGATTTGATACTCAACCTGCCCTTTCTGGGCTTTTCAAGATGGTTTTGATAAGTGCATGCTGGTGACTTTTGAAAACTGTTTTCTATGTGTGGATTCTTTGAAAATAAAGAGAAAAATTGTGTGAAAAAGCTTTGAAGTCTTCAGAATTTTAGCTTTCAAAATATTTGTAAAACGCCTTTTCCTGTTATTTTTTTCCCAGGCTAGCTATAAAGGGATCAAGGTTGGGATGTTTGTTTGTGTGTATTTTCAATGGGAGTGAAGATGGTGAGAGTGTCTGTGAACATCTCTAAAAATCTTACCCAGCTCAGCTGCAACGCACTCAGCTTCAAAGATGTGGGAAGTTTCCTTGCTGGAGGTTGTCCCCTCCCTCCTAGGAAGGAAGGGGAAAGTGTTTAGAATCAACTAAACCCTTTAATTTCCCCAGGTTTGGGTTTATTATTATTTTTTCCTTCAACTGAAGTAGGAAAGCCTCTATTTTACAGATGTTGAATTCAGGGATTTTGGATTCAAATGTCTTCGCTTTTGCTATTTTTTTTAAAAAAAACTTTTGGTATTGAGGATGATTTTTCAATCAGACTTACTAAAATCAAAATAAGTTAATTCATCTTGAAAATACCAGGACTTTTCTTTTTTATTTAAGTTACGGTTGTGTTATATTTGGGAAGATCTTTCTCTGGACAGAAAATGGCAAAGCATGATCCATTTGCAGATGCTTTCAAGCTGGCCAAATTTGGGGTTTACCAGACTTCTGCTGAAAGAGGCGTTATTGACTCCCGGCCAGGCGTCACATTTTGGTGTTGATTTAGGAGGTACTTCCATAAATAGATGGTTTTGGGGTTTTTTTATACTTCCAGCAGCAAGTGGGCCAGCTTATCCAAAGAAGGGGAAAATTTAGCAGTGAGGCCATGAATGTGCTTCCTCCACGCGGAGGAGCTCATGGGGCTGGTGAGGAGCTCCAGAGGTGACCCCTCCATCACCCATCCCGACCACGGGGTCCCCTCTGTGTGGCAGCTCCTGGGCCAGGATGCTCTGCCAGCTCGAATCACCTTCATCTTCATGAATACTAATTATATGACTATTTTCTGTCTGATTTGCTTCTGTTCCTTTCAGGCTGGCTGTATTTTAACTAGAAGTGGGGTTCATTAAGTAGGGATTTAATCGAGAGCTGGTGGTTTCGCTCTTCAGTCTTTGGGTGCAGAGGGAGTTGTCTGTAGCTGAGCCTCAAAATGTGCTTACGTGCTTCCTGAGGCTCGCTCTTCATTAGGCAACTGCAGAAGTAAGGAAGAAGGCAAGATTGACAGGTTACTGCATAGACACGTAAATAGTAAATGCTCCCGATGGGTTCGTGATGCATTTCTGTTTGGTAAAATAAACCGGCAATGGTTATCATTGGTATTTAAAGCTATCTTTAAATATGCACGGGAAAAAAAAGAATGATAATGAGAAGTAAAATTATGTGGCTCTAAGGTACTTCTTTGTGCTCAGCGTTTCGATGCTTTCCACGGGTGCTGTGGAGCTTACCCGGCAATTTAGGGCTGCCGTGTGTCTGATTGAGATGTATCCTGCAGCCGTGGTGGAGTGGGCTCCTGCCTTGCTGTGTCTCCAGAGCAGCTGCATCCTGGATGTCTAATTTTCATTCGCTTCTACAGTCAGTAGCTCTGCAGCCTCCATTGGCTTTGAGCGTAGAGATGCACCTGTGAAGATGTTTCTGGTGTATAAAGTACCTAAGTGTAGAAGGTTTGAACTCATGTGAAATTAGGGCCCAGATTTGTGTGGTGCTGAGATCTCAGGATGCCTCAAACCAGGGTTGCTCACTGGAATGCTTGAGTTCAAGCTTTGCTTTTTTTAACCTCTGCATGGATAATGCGGCATAGGATGAGGTTTAGAAGGGCTCCTTCTTGCTAAAGCATCAGTGATTCTCTTCAAAAGGAAATGGGGAATTTGTGTTCGAGCGTGGTCGTGTGGGGTGGTTGCTGCTATGTTTTTTTGTCCTGCTTTCTTAATCTCTTGGCTTTCCTTGAGCAAAGACCTTAAGCAGTGCTTAGAAAAATAATGTCACAGCCCTCTACTAAGAGATACAAGCCCTAAAGTTTCATGAAACTACACCCTGGATCTGTAGACTTGCTGTCCTTGGGTGATCGCTAAGAAGGATTTCAATCTTCAGATGGTGGTTGCGAATTTTGCTCATGTTTGCAAGTCCTGGCGCTTCGTGGGAGGATGGCTGGGGGTTCCTGGGCTACCCGGCAGCTCCTCTTGCCTGTTCCCCTTTGAAGGTTTCTTCTCCCCTGTTTTTAGAGGCTTTTACCCTGATAACTTTTGCAAAACACCACTTAATGGCAGAGGTTTTTGGCTCCCCTCTGATCTGTGTGGTGCTATTATGGAGGCAGTCTTATAATCAATGTAATTGAAGATCAGAGTTAATGAGGACCTCTGTGCCTGCAAAATCCCCCAAGCGATGCTGGGCCTCAGATGTTAGATAAGGAAATGATTGGGCTGAACTGAAAATCTATTTGGCTAATTAGATGATGCATATTCCCAGGTGCCGGTGGGGAAAAATACATTTCACAAAATAAAGAAACGTAAGATTTTGTAAGAAAAGAGTTTTGGCAGGGATTCACGTCTAACTCTCAGGAGGGAGAGGGCGAGGGAGTGTCTCTGATCTGAGACCACTCAGATGAGAAGTTGTGTGTTGGGCCAATTTGTTCACCTTCAGGTAACGGAGTGAAGCGTGAGCAGCCCGTGCTGCCGCTGCCCCTGCCCGCCCCGCGCCTGGCACCCACGCGGCTCACGGGCACCTCCGGCATCCGCTGAGGATGCGACACTCCGGTCTGACGGATCAGAATAGTTACAGCGGTCCCTATTTCTGCAGAGATCTGGGAATCGAATCCAGTGTCTCGTGATGCTGAGTAGGGGTAGGGGAGCGTCTGGGCAGAGGGGTGTCCCAGCTGGTGGACCATTTGTTGGGGCACGTTTCTATGGAGAGGAATGGTCAAATGAAGTTCTCTGAGTCCAAGTGGTGGTGAACTCTGTATTATTTTACTAATCTCAGCATCGCAGTACCTCCTGAAGAGTCGAGTGTTCTGGTATTGGGCCAAAACACATGTGGGTTGTTTTTTTTTAATTATTATTTCTTTTTACACTCACCTAACTCACTCTTTTCCCACCCTCCAGGCAGCAGCTTTGTTGTGAGCGAGGGGAGCTACTTGGACATCTCCGACTGGCTTAATCCAGCCAAGCTGTCCCTCTACTATCAGATCAATGCCACGTCCCCCTGGGTGCGAGACCTCTGTGGACAGAGGACCACTGATGCCTGTGAACAACTGTGTGACCAAGAGACAGGTAAGGGAGGCCAGGGAAGAGTGAAGACCTCGGAAAGCTTGGAGATGCGAGGGAGAAGGGTTGTCTGTGGCTATTTCGACGCCCGCTCAGCTCACCTCTGCTTTAGCCTGGTGTTAGGTGTGGAGGACCGAGAGGTATCAGCAGGGTCACGCAGTGCTGACTCCCATCAGCAAAGTAGAAAGAAGGTGGGCTCGAGGATGGGGATTTGAAATGGTGGACCTATCAGTTCTTTGGGGTGGCAGCTGCAGGCACACGGAGTTTATCTGCTTTTAAGTTGTGCTATTTTTGCTGTCCAGTCTAAAAGACCTACTCGTGAGCTTGCCCCATCTCCATCCCTTTTCTTTTTTGGCCATTCCACCACAGAGCACCGCATTTCCCATTCGTGCTCCTGCCTGATGGTCACCTAGGTCACATCTCCTCCAGTACTTCCTCATGGAGCTGTGGAGTCTGTCTGCCCTCTTTCCTCACCTGTAAATGACGTTTTTGCTGAGCGTGTTCTGCTTGCACGCAACGGCCGCTCCTGTGAAGCAGCAGCCAGCCCTGCTGGGACTCTGAGATGTGGGGCCGGGCAAAGGAGAAGTGTCACCTTTCCTTCTGTCCTCTGTGCTTCTGGGTGACAAACGGGGATCTGGAGCGTGCAGTGAGCCGGGAACGTGCAACTCCTGAATGAAGGTGTGGGGTCTACGTGGGTGGGAAACAAGGATGTGACCCCAGCCCAGGGCTGGCCCCCAGGAGGTGACATCTCCTCAGCTGGTGCCGGTGACAGGACCTTGTGCTGGAAGGTGGCTCAGGGACTGTGCTAGTTTTTGTAACGTGGGGTGTGCCGTGCCCTCTGCAGCGGTGAGCGTTGCTCCTGCTCCCCGGTCCCTCGCCTCGGGGGGACGCCTTCGTGGTCGCGTGGAGACAAGTGGCCCCGTTGCTCTTGGTGTGCTGAAGACCAACTAAAGAGTAGGGATGTTGGTTTCTGGTTTTGCCAGGGGGTTTGATGAGGGATGGCTCACAGAGAAGGCTTTTTCTAAGCCTCCCACTGCCATGGACTGTGCTGTTAAGATGTTAATAATAAGAAATCCTCCAGAGTCATGAACCCACCATGGGCTGGTGGGGGTGACTCTGTTCTCATCCTTCGCTGCTGAGCTGAGATGCAAGTACTCAACTTGGTCTTAAACATACATTTTCCTGGTCAAGACAATGTTCTCTTCTTAGTACTCCTACTCCTCAAGGCTTGTCTACGCGGAGGCACTGGCAGGCATCGCTGCGGCAGAATAATTACGCTGGATGAATTCCCCGCGTAACCGAGCCCTGGGCATCACCTACAGTCCCAAGGAGGGCTGGGAGGTGGCAGCAGCCATCTCGGCAGATGGAGATGGTGCAGGAGGAGGCTCTTCTCATCCAGATGTCACAGAGCAGAAGGATCGGTTCAGGCATCGGTGAAATGCAGCCACCACAGCGGGAGAGGGAAGATGTGTTCAGCTGTCCCCTGCTTCAGGGGAGGAGGAGAGAAAAATCTCTGCCTCCAGCAGAAACCGTGGGGAGACCGTATGGAGCCAGACCATGCCTTCCCTGCTGGAAGAGCCCCACGGCTCTGCTAGCCAGCCCCACACCGTCCATGGCACCGAGCAGGGCTGGTTTAATCCTCGCATGGCCTCCGCTGCGAGGAGCGGCTGTTTTCCCGTGCCGGCCCAGCTGCTGCTCCCCCCGCATCCCCAGCGTGCCGGAGCAGCTTGTCGCTCTTACTGGATGCCCCACGCTTGAGCAGGATGTGTCAGATCTCGTTTGCGGGGAAGGGAGCGACTCTCGTTAGCCCAGGAGGTGCTCTGCTCCGGCACCAGGCTGCATCCTAACCTCGACAGCTGCTCTGCGGCTCCCGTCCCTGGTTCCCATCCTCCCCGCTGTACCCGTGATGGGAGGTGAGGGCAGAACAGCCTTGATCTGAACCTTCAGGTTCCTCACCCGAAATCTGTCATTCAGCTTCTTCCCTCTCTCTCCAGCCTGGGAGTTCGCACGCGGATAAAACAAAAGCTTTCTCCTGTCTGTGCCGGTTGGATCCTCAGGGGTAGAGCAGACTGGTCAGTGGGGCTGCTGGTTTTCAGAGCCTAAATCTAAGACCCACTTAAGAGGTCCAAACTTCACAAGAGCTGAGCGACCACCCACTGAAAATTAGGCCTTTGGAAGTACCAATTTGACACCCTGCCCCAGGGACACAGCCCCAGGCACCGCTTATGGTCATCACCATCGAGCAGCCTTTAGCTGGTGAGAGGTTTGCGTGCCAGGCTGGGAGCAGACAGTAACCCCATGATACACTGCATGTATTTTTAGATTTATTTTTATTAATGTCGTTCTATTTTTAAGGGTGATTTATTTTTATCACCGTGAGAGAGGCAAGCTTGTGGTTTTACTATAGGACATAAATCCTGCCGAGATTTCAACCTTTTCAGGTCAGGGATTTTATCATCTCTGTGAGCATCCCAAGGGATGGGTGCTGGGGGTTTCCCCTGCCCTCTGTCTTCTCGGCCTGGGTGAAGTGGCCATGAAGAGGATGGACTGAGGTTTGTCCTGTCTGGAGGATGAAAGCCTCGAAGGTTTCCTCTGTGAGGAGCAGCAGGGACAGCCCTGAGGTCCTCCAGCGCATTTACAGCTAATCTGACTCCAGCCTTCCCCTCGGAGCCACCGTCCGCGGTGGTGTGGACACAGCCTTGACCCAAAGCATCCTTGGGCCACAGCGTAGGCAGAGCTCCATGGGCAGGACTCGTCCTTGGCAGCAGTGCCACAGGCTCCTGGCACATTTGGGGAGAGGCCTCCGGGTCACGTATGCTTTGTCTGGTGAGACGTGAGCTCTTACCCCTTCCCAGCTCTGAAGACCTCTTTTGGGCTGGAGTTTGAGGTAAAATCTGTGCTGACTCACGACTCCAGCCACCAAGTACTACTTCAGTATGAATAATAATCCGCACTGAAAACTGAGGCTCTGAAACACTAGGAAATGCCAAAATACATTTTGCTTGCCTGACCTTAATTTGCCTTCCCTTGTGTCTTTGCCGTGTGACTCACTCTTTAATTAAATGATTGCTGCCCTCCTGACAAATTTCAAACCCGCATTGCGAAGCACCAGCTCATCAGAGCTTTTCAGAGGGAGCACCAACATCTGCACATGAGCGAAATGTCATCTTTCTCCTTCCCCCCTGCCTTGGAAACGGCCGAGCCGTTTGGGCTGACATGACTGTACATAACATAAATAAATGGATGCTGCTGAGCGTCTTCCCCCTGCAGATACTACATGGTGGCCGTGCCCCAGCCGCCACGTCAGATGGGACAGGTACCTCTCCAGGGTCAGGACGCGGTCCTCAGCTGAAGAATTTCAGCCAAAACGCTCCATCCTCTTGGCAGGTGCTGATTTTGCTGCTTGAAGTGAGACCAGGGAAGGTTCGTTGTCTCCTGGGGCTTCCCTTTGCATTTTCAATGGATGTGGAGTGCGATGCCAGTGCCACCGCTCATACCACACACTGGGATACCTCTGCATAAAATCCAGGCATGCTGCCTTTCCGCTGGCCTCCCTTGCCAGCACCGGTAACATTTATGAGAGCATCGGTTTTCGGCGGCATATGCAAATTCTGATTTGTGAGCACAATTACCTGCTTTGTATGCACAAAACTGATTTCACTTGCACATTCTGCGGGCATCGCTTAAGAGACCTGCTGGAGAATCGGTCCCTTAGGGCCAAATGCTGGAAAAAACAGCCTCTGATTTTGTGCCGTCAGGCTTGCCGGAGCAGTGGCATAAATGAGATGGATAGCTACCTTGATTAGCAGGTGCAAATGCGTTGATATTTTTTTTTTCCCCATCTATAAATCAGGCACTTCTCCATTGAAATTCTCTCCTCTGCATCCACAATTGATGGCGCTCCCCCCAAAGCAATAGGCACGGGCTTGTAAGGACCAAATGAGATGCGGTAGCGAAGGGTCTTTTCTGGAAATTGGCAGGACGAGGGGAAAAAAAAGAAAAAAGAAGAAAAAAAAAAAGGTTTCCATCATCTTCCAAATGGGCTAGATTGTCACCAGAGCCGCAGATGGTGTTCCTGTCCAGGTAGGACAAGGGTCTTGTGGGCGGGAGACAGATGAAAGTCATTCTTAAGCAAAGCCATTTTTTAAAGGCAACCTGTTAAGGGGATTTGGAGGTTGCAGAGCTGAGCATGTAAATCAGGAGATGGCCAACCTTGGTGAGGGTGTCTTTGTGTTTATGAAAACAGCCGTTTTCTCCGATAGTTCAATTTAATATCATGCAGCTTTTGTGCACATCAAGTAATATTTGTTTGTTCTTGTGCACTTCTGCTGTTTTCGCTGTTGGAGGATCCTAGTGTCTTTATTGACTTAGACTTTTATAAGATGAGGTTCTATCTCTCTAAGGTATGTAGTTTAATAACTTGGTCAAAAACCATGTAATATACGATTTCTTTTCATGTGGCGGCACAGCTTGCCTCGTGCACCAAGCAGGGCAGGAGGCAGTTAACTCCCAAGCTAATTTAGCTTCGGGCTGAAGTGTTATACATAAACAGCAATCAAAATGCATGCCTGCAAGGGGGCTGAGTTAAGGTTATCTGTGCTGTCTTTACACTCTCATTTTCTGCCATTAGAGTGTTTAATCCGGCAGCTGCTAATGTTCTTGTAATGGCATTTCTGTGCTTGTCTAAAGACCAGGGAGAGGGGGGAAGAGGAATGAGTTTTGCTGTATGGAGCTGCTCCTGCGCCCGCCTCCCCGCCTCGACCCGTCCCACCAGCGCTGCAGGAGGTGGCTTCTCACCCCTCTGTGGTCAGCTCTGGGACAGTGGTCACCCCAGAATCCCAGACGGGTGAGGGCTGGAAGGTCCCGAGGGGGAGACTCCCCCACCTCTCTGGGCAGCCTGTGCCACTGCTCTGCCGCCCTCACAGCAGAGAAGGCCCTCCTCAGGTGGAGATGGAACTGCCGATGGTCACGTTTGTGCCCGTTCCCTCTTGTCCTGTCACTGGGCA